ATTACTGAGACCTCAAGGTTTTTATATGTTGGAGAAGTATAATTTTTAAAGTATCTCTGGTCTTAAGACATCCTTGTTCAAGACCTTCTTTCTCCGATAAAATATACCACAGAGTTGTCATTTAAAGAGAAGTGTTGTAAACACATTAGCCTGCTGTGTAACAAAAACCCCATAGATCCCATCCATGTTTTCAAACCATTCTAGAATGTTTTATGTCTCTCTGCTTCTCCTTGGACTATCATACCGTGTAATGCTCTGACCTGATTGCCAAATGACCTACACTTCTTTAGGAAGATATCATACACTCAAGAAGACAAGCAAGACAATACAGTCTTCCCAAGCAGTGAAGCGAAGCTTGGGTGTTGGGCCTAATTCAGGGCTCCAGAGGGAACTGGAAAGAAATCGTAAATCTATGCATTGCAGACATGGCTACATACAAAATGGGGTGTGATATTCTTTCTTGGGTTAAAATTAACTCATTTGTTTTTAGATGGTAGAGTCTGGAAAAAAGCATAAATAATTAGAGACAAAATTGTCCAAATGCCTGATATACTTGGAGATACTTGGAGATCCCATGATTTGATTTTGTAGGTATAAAATGGTTGGCATTTTAAATTCTAAAATTTCTGTAGCCAAATTAAAAAAAACAAGACTTTAGTTGTTTCTAAAATAAAGGATAATCATTATTAAAATAACTCACAAATTAGTGAACCATACTCAAAAGAAGGAAGGTAGAGAAGGAGTTTCATAATTATACATGTCTTTACATTATTGTGTTACATAGTTATTAAGGAAACTAATCATATGCATGCAAATGCATAATTTATTTAGAGACAAATTTTTACTATTTCTTCACTACTTATTAGAATATTTACTTCAGTATATATTATTAAACATTTTGTAACAGATGTAAGTTGGAAGAAAATAAACATAATAAATGTCTATCTTCATGGAGGGTATAGTTTAGTAGAGAAGATGGAAAGTAAATGAGTTAACAGAATATCACACAAATGCCTAATTTTAATGTTGATAAATGCTCTGAAGTAAGCATTCACAATGCTCTGAATGAGACTAAAGGAGCAGGGAACCTGCTTTTTACTGGGTCTTCAGGAAAGTATTTTCTGAAGAGGTGGAATTAAAAGCTGAGGCCTGATTAAGTGCAAAGAGCCCGGCCCCTGGGCGTGTGGACGAGGGAGAGTCTAGATACACAATGAAGTGGGAGAAACTGCCGAGGTGGGAGAGAAGAGTGTGTGTACAGGAGGAGCATAGGGGAAGCCTCTAAGTGGGGCAGCATGAGCCAGGAGAAGCCTGGTGGGAAAGAAGTCATGAACTGTCTCAATAAGTCACAGTGAGGATTTAGTATGCACATCAAGCGCACTGGGAAGCTATTAGGCTTTTACATAGAGAAGCAGCATCATCGCAAGTGAGCGTTGAAAACTTTGCTCTATACTCCTTTGTATGAAGAATAGCCTGAAGGGGCACAAGTGGAAGCAGGTAGGAATTGCAGTTGTCCAGGTAGGAAGTAATACTGCCAAAGAACAGGGAGGGCGTTAGTGGAGATCGGGAGACATGAAGAAATTTGAAATACATAATCCTCTTGTGACATGATGTTTGGTTCACTGTCCAAACCTCTTGCGTTACTTTTCCAAGTTCTTCCATTGAGATGGAGGTGATTTCAATACTTGTTGCTCTGTCTCTCATTACTGTTTATTTTTATTTATGTGTATTTTCCCACTATACTGTAATGAACATGTGGAAGGGATACGTTATTGTGGGCAAACTGGACCAAAATGCTTGTGGGACTCAAAGTTTGTTGAAACTCTATCCTCCGTGGTCTGTCTCCAGCAAGCTTACTTCACTCAGTGTGCTCAACATTATGTAACATAGTCTTATTTTTTTTTCTTATTTTTGCCAATTAGGCAAGTTCTTGTTATATTTTTTATCAGGGATTCTACACTCACACCCACCTTTGACCATTATTCCTTTTCTAACATGACACTTTCTTCATTTAATCGGATCCTGTGAGAAATGACGTATTTGCTGGTAAAAAGAGCTTGCCTCAAGTTGAGAGGCTGAGAGAAGGGATCAAAGTTTATTCAGTTTCCTGTTTGAAGCTACAGTGTTAACCACAGTGCCTTTAACTAATGAAAGAAAGACTGGGGGCTCAGGAAGGAACAAAATTGAACAAAATACTTCCATTTTGGTCAAGTTTACTTTGGAGAAGTAGACAATCAGAAACGTATCTGGAATTCAAGTGGGATACTTGAACTGGGCATATAAACGATGCAAAAATAAAGATATCATTTATATAAGAAAACTCCTATCTCACAATGGAAAGATTGTCCAGACCCACTTCCCTGAAATGCTTGGCTAATAAAATTTAAAACTCTTACAGTTGGAGAAGGATTCTCATGGATAGAGAGGCAAGCAGAGTGTGTAAAACCAGAAGCTCTGGAACCATATTGCCTCGGTTTAGATCTTGTCCCCACCATAAACTCCTTGTGTGATCCTGGAAAAGTTGCTTATTCTCTCTATGCTTCAGTTTCCCAGTCTATATAATGTGATGATATTAACATCTACTTTATAAGAATTTAATGATCAAATGGGTAAATTATTTGAGAGAGAGTGAGAGAGAATGGGGAGGGGCAGAGGGAGAGAGAGAGAGAGAGAGAGAGAGAGAGAGAGTCCTCTAGCAGACTCCCAGCTGAGTGCAGAGCCCGATGATGCAGGGATCTATCCCACAACCCTGAGATCATGACCTGCACCAAAATCAGGTGTCAGACGCTCAACCGATGGAATCACCCAGATGCCCCAAATGAGTTAATCTTTGTAAAGTGTGTAGACGAGTACCTAGCACAGAGTAACCACTATGTACATGCTTGGTAAAGAAAATAAATGGACATGAAATAGACATAAACTTGCATGTATAAAATTATAAAATATGTGTCATTTCTAAATAAATAGTGCATAATTATATATTTTAATTAATAGTAGCTATAGATTTATAATAGTTACCAAGAAACACTAGATCTACAGATTAGGAGGATGTCATTCTGGTAACATAAAAATCTGTCTTTTTCTCACTCAGTACAGCTTTTGGGTGCAATCATCCACAGATTCCTGGGTCCCTCTTCATTATTTCTTAAACATTTTAACAGCTGACTTACTGTCATTCCTGTCATAATTGTTGGAGATTTCAGTATCTTCTCAGATGATGCTTCCAGTTCCTGAGCCCTCAGTTCTTTGATAGCTCCTCCAATGATTTTGTCTTCCACTCTACCGCGGCTGCCCATTCCCAGCCTCTTAACATAGAAGTTGTCATTACCAGATACTTCTCCATAATATCATCCTCAGGTACCCCACTCTGCAGGCATCACTACCTTCCTTTCCAGCTCATTCCCCTAGTAATTCAACCTCAAAATTCTTCCATCCTCGTGGAATGCATAATCCAATAATTTTACCAGCTTCTGATTAGAGAAGCACTTCATCTTCTCTTTGTCATTTCTTACTCAAGAGAGATTCTGTACTATATGCTGGCTATCTGTAATCCATCATTAAAAGCACCCCTTGTGTTTTCCCTCACCTCTTTGTCCTCTCCGGTCTTTCTGTAACATACCCATATGGCAGCACCCTACCTAGGTCAGATTCACTTTCCTGCTGATGCTGTGCCTGCACTGGGGAGGATGAATATGGCTGAGTAGTCTCACTTGGAAATCATGAATGCAAACCTCAAGTAGCCCATTGTGCTGACTGGTAATCTTATTACATTTTTCATATCCATTCATAGCCCCACTCCTCTGAGGAATATTTCA